ATTATTATCATTTATTTGCTTGTTTGTTTACTTTCCTTCATTGTTGTGTTTTCCCAAGTAATTGCCTGTAATTTGTTTTTGACTTTATAATGTGTTTGTCTATAATGTAATTACTTTTATCTACACTGTGCTCTGTCTGTAATTGGCCTTGCGGCTGTTGACTTGGCACATAAATAATAACGAATTGAATTGAATTATTATTTATCTCAGTCGTATAGCGACGGGATGGCCGAAGAATCAGGGCTCGATTCCCTGCAAAGGCAACTGAATTTTCTCTTCTTCACAGAGTTCAGACTGGCTGTGAGGCCAACCCAGCCTCCTACATGTAATGGGTACTGGGGACATTTCTCCTGGGGATAAGGCGGCTGGGCCATCAGGCTGAACACTCCCCTCCAACTAGTACCGAGGTCAATAATGGAGGATTTATACCTCCACTCCACCACACGGCTTAATTGCGTGGAGCTTAATTAATTAAGCTAATTCTTAAATTATGCGTTTACCTTGACCTCTGTCTCCCTTCCTCTCCTCGTTTCTTGCTGTCTCTGTATCTCCCTTCATTTGTCTCGTGTTTGCCTCCAGACGTCCTTCTGTTGCTCCGACATCCAGTAAAACCAGACACTGCTTACCTTTGTTGTATATAGCGGGCTCAAGACGGTCGAAGCGCTCAGACATGGCGGCCTCTGCCTGCGAAATGAAGGCTGACATGTCTGCCGACTGCATGTGAGGCATCTGGACTCGCGGCATTGCGGGCAGGGGCTCGATCTCCACCGGAGGGTGCAGATGCTGAGTGTGGCCTCCTAGACATCGGACAGCAGCTCCCAATAGCACGAAGGACCCCAGCCACGCCATTGCTCTGGGGAAACGGGGAAAAATGTAGAAGAAATTATAGCAGTGGTGAGGTCAAGAAAACTAGCCAAACATGGGCCCTTTCCTAATAAGGGTTCCTTGGGTTTATGCTGTCACCAGTAGATTTCAGTGAGAATCTCTCCATAAAAGCGCCTTGAGTGACCTTGTGAGTTCCACAAGTGCTGGAAGTCAAAATCAAGCTTCAACAACATCATTCGTTAATTGATTTTTTGAACATATTGTAGTGCGACATTAAACTTAAATAATTACCTGAGGGCAATGTAATTGATGCTTCATGTAGTATTTCTGAATGTGCTGAGTTTAGGTTATGTGACTCATGTTTCGTAGTATTTGTAACTGCAGGCTTCTTATTACAAAGTTACTGCATTTTCAGACCTCCGCGTGCCCCATATGAAGCCTTTGTGATATCCTAATATGGACTGCAGTCCGTATGAGGGAGGGAATTCATTACAATTTCGCTCTGCGTGATTATGAGTTATCGTAGTATAATTGATGCTGAGGAAGTCCATATAGCAGTACCGTAACTGGTGATTATATCCGTGGGGGTGACAACACTGTAGGGAAGTTTGGTTGTGGTTTGTTAGTAGCTACGTGTTTTATCAAAATAATATTTCGAAAAAGTTTTACGCTTGTTCACAATCCGAACCTAAATTTCAATTTTTATTGTGCAGCTACTCAAGACCTTCCCAGCATTTTATGGAACCCGAAGGTTCATTACCGTGTTCACAGGAGCCCTCCAGCTGTCCATATCCTGAGCCAGATCAATCCAATCCATATCATCCCATCATATCTCTCTGAGATCCGTTTTAATATTTTCCACCCACCTACGCCTTGATCTTCCCAGTGGTCTCCTTCCTTGCGGCTTCGCCACCAATATCCTATATGCATTTCTCCTCACCCTCCATTCTTGCTATATGTCCTGTCCATCTCATTCTAATTATAATTATTCTAATTATTCTAATTATACTTGGAGAAGCGTACAAGTTATGAAACTGGAATTTGCACATGACATGTACTCAGCTTATCGACCGTTATTCATGTCAATAAGGCTAGCTGGCTTGGATGTGTTATGTATATCTAAAGAGAGAACAACAGATTTCTAGGGAATCTTGATGGAAAATATTCGGGAAAGAAAATTCGGGCAAGGAGTTGCAAGCAACACATTCTGTAAACAATAAAATCTTCGCTGATAATAAAATTATTATTCAGAAACTGAAGGAAGACACAGAGAAGTTCTCTTAGTCGACACACTACAAAAACCTGGAGAACAATAAAAACTCAAGTAAGAAACGTGTCTTTGTTTAATTACGGCGAATGTCACGAATATGAATAGTTGCATGTGTTCTTAACTGGCTTTAGTTGTAGGTAAATAGTCAGCTTCGTGCTCCGGCCACTTTACCACGAGGGAACTAGTCGCCTTTATGGGCGAACACTGGGCAGGAATCTGTGAGGTCCTAGAGTCAGTGGGAAAGCAATGACAAAGAGACCTAGAGCCAGTGTGAAAGAAATGACAAAGAGACAGAAACCTGCACTGCCTGAAACCAGGTCCAATCATACACCACGTAATGACAATGGTTATCACGGGCACAAGCAACAACTATTTTAATTCAGATTATACAGCAAGTTTAACATTTTAGATACTTAGGAATTGGCAACACTTATGAAGCTATGATGTAAGTAAGACGATACACTGGCCGTGCCATACCCGAAGCGGTTAGCCGCTGGCTTCCCACCGCGGCCGCCCGGGCTCGAACCCGGGTCTGGACATGTGGGATTTATGGCGGACAAAGTGGCACAGGGGCAGGTTTTCTCCGAGTAGTTCGGTTTCCCTTGCTAATCTTCATTCCATCAATTGCTCTACAGTCACCCTCGTCTACCATCTGGGGCTGGTACAGTAGGCCGTAAGTGGCCGCAGTACCAAGTGGACTCAGTCTGACCCCACAAAGGGGAAAAGAAAGGAGATACACTGGTACCCTGGCATGACAAACAGGATGTTGAAACGCTCGTACCCTGGCATGATAAACAGGATGTTGAAACGCTCGTACCCTGGCATGATAAACAGGATGTTGAAACGCTGGTACCCTGGCATGATAAACAGGATGTTGAAACGCTCGTACCCTGGCATGATAAACAGGATGTTGAAACGCTCGTACCCTGGCATGATAAACAGGATGTTGAAACGCTCGTACCCTGGCATGATAAACAGGATGTTGAAACGCTGGTACCCTGGCATGATAAACAGGATGTTGAAACGACAAGTAAGGAAAAAGTTAAAAATTTTCAGGTACTGACTTTTATTTCGCATTTTCTGTATGGAACTTACGTTACGAAAAATAAAATTATTTTAAAAATTCAAAGATCTGAAATTATTTATTTAGTGTCAAGGAACATACAGAACTAGAAAAAATAAATCCGATGATACGCGACGGGAATAAAGCATTTCTTCAGAAAACTGAAAAATATTACGGAGGGAAATGGTTAAACCTTATGAACGGAACAGAAAATAGCAGACTCCCCCAAACTGTATTTAATTACCAATATTGTTATGAACTGCATTAAAAATATATTCAGAAAATAATCTACCATACATGTAGTTACATTAGGCAGAGTTTACAACATATGTATGGCGGAGGGTATAAATATGTTTGACTATTCCTGTGGGCCCTACATTTCATTTTCAGCAAAACCCTGACTACTACCCAGTGTGAACTCAACGTCCCAGCAACTCCTTTCCAACAATGGAGTTCATGATTAAGGAGAGAATGTAACTTCGTGATTGAAGTCTCGTGAGCGGCACGTCGCAAAGCTGCAGGAGAAGAAAGGGAGTCACGGTTCCACGTAAAACCATTCTCATGAACCATTAATTATTGTGAACTAATATCATAACTTCACTTACTATGCACGTGTCATCTTGCAAGCCCCTTTCGAGAGGAGCTAGGACATAAAATACCAATCGACTTTCAGCTTTGTGGATGTTAAGCAAATAAGAATGAGGATATACGTTGAATCATGTGGCTACAGAGTCCAGTGGCAGGCTCCTCTTGTATATAATCCTTTCAGCCGCACTATGGCCCTGGGGTCGACTCAGCCTCTAACAGAAATGAGTACCAGGAATATTCTTGCAATATTCTTGGGGGTAAAGGGCGGCCAACGCGTAGGGCTTACCGCCATCTACGTGTATGAACCGATTGTCTAGAAAATGTGGGATCCTCAACATCTCACAACCCTATGGGCCTCCACGGCCTGTTACAGGGATACCTTTACTCACTTTTACCCTATTCTTTATTGCTAATTGTAGAAAAAGTGTGATATTTCGAAAATGGCATTGTTGCTCTTGATTTTATGCTCTTCTTTCTCTGTAATGTAGGCATTGCAGAGAGATTGACTTTGTAGCTGTTGACTCTTGACGTAAATAATAAGAAAGGAATTAAATTATTACTAGTTGTTGTTATGCTGAATAATATAAGTAGTCCTCGTATCATCATCGCCATCGCCATCATCATCATCATCATCACCATCAACATCATCACCATCGCCATCATCATCATCATCATCATCATCATCACCATCACCACCATCATGATCATGATCATGATCATGATCATCATCATCATCATCATTATCGCCATCACCATCATCATCATCATCATCATCGCCATCACCATCATCACCATCACCATCACCTTCGACTTCATCACCATCATCATCGCCAGCGCCATCATCATCCTGCATGACAACGCTCGCCCCCACGCCGCTCGCCTCACATTGGAAGCAATTGCAAAGATGGGGTGGGAAGTTCTTCCACACCCTTCCTACAGCCCTGATCTGGCACCCTCCGACTACCACCTTTTCGGATTTGTGAAGGATCAGCTGCGTGGACAACGTTTTGAGACAAGGGAGGCAATTCAGAAAGCAGTGCGTCAGTGTCTTCGGATGGCTGGAACGGAATTTTACAGAAGGGGAATTTTCAAACTCCCAGAACGCTGGGAGAAATGTGTACAAAGAAGTGGCGATTATGTGGAAAAATAAAGAAAGGTCTGTAGATTGAGGTGGTGTATTTGGTTTGTCAATAATAAGGCCTGTTACTTTACAAAAAATTGTTGCTCATGACTTTCAGTACGACCCTTGTACTATTCTTATTGCTACGATTACTATTCTAGCTTTTTCTAGATACTGGAGTCTTGTGGTACAATTTTTTCCCTCCCGGTCACGATTGAACACCCACACACACACACACCTGGCGACTGGGAACGGATGCTGTGGCCCTTGAACCAGGACGAGTGCCTGACCGGAATCCAAAGTGACGGCATTTCGTTACAACGGGATGGACCAGTTCCGTGCAGTCACTTAACGCCTTGCAGCATGACATCACCATCACGTCACTGCATGCAATTAGAAAAGAGGTGCACCTCAGTATTCAGGTCTTGTGTTCTGATTCTCCCCTGCTTTCACACATCCGTGGTCCCCCTCACTTTCTACCAGTAAGCATCGAGCAAGTGACCGCCTCTGTGGTCTAGTGGTCAGAGTTCATGGCTGTAGATCCAGAGCTCTGGGTCCGATTCCAGGCGCTACTAGATTTTCTGAGAAGTAGTGGGTCTAGAACGGGGTCCACTCAGCCTCGTGAGGATACTTGAGGAGCTATTTCAAGAAAATAGCGGCTGCGGTCTTGAAAACCGAGATTGACGGCCATGGGGATTCGTTTCGCTGACCACGCTCTGAAGTTGGCACTAACTTCGCCGACAAGCGGCGGTCCCTCGGTCGGTATAGTTCGCTTTCGGACTCAAGCCACGGAGTTTTTTTTTTTGTCTATCAGACAGTTTCAGGTTTGTTGATGTGGAGAACTCTCTGACGAGAGGACTGGCCTGTCGTTTGCCAGAGTCACAGTCGGCAGTAATAAGTCTACTGTCAGTATGTACAATTTACGCTTTACATGTTATTGAATGTACATGTATACATAACATATACAAGGCCTCTGTCAGTCCCGGC